ACCTAGCCTATACTTATTAGTACAATAACATTGCACACAAATATTCAACATGCACGAAATCAACACATATCTAAATAGCTCCTAACAATGGATCAACCAGTCCCAAACTATTCTGTTCAATTGGTTAAGTAGTTGTGTTTTTAATTAGGATCTTGATTCGTCAACCTAAGTTCAAAATCAATTTAACCTATTTTATCAAGATAACCGATCCAAAAATTCATAATAATTATCATGACTATTATGCTCAATATAATAGGATCTTACATAAGCAAATATCGAATTAGCAAAAAAATTGGATCACCTATTCACACTTCATGAAACATAAACAATTTCAAATAACTTCAATTAGTCAACAAGATTATCCAACTCATACAAATACACGTAAAATATATATATTTTTTCAAAATATTCACAAACAAGGAAGTATAACTTACTAACTAATCTACACTCCGAAACTTAAAAAATACACTTTGTCCTTAATGTGTGCACAAAATAGGCTTAAAGAATGGTTAAAAATACTCATCGTTTACATGATGTTTCTCGTTTGGACTTTGATTTTTAATCTTCCTTCAATATCATTTCCATGCTTGTTCTATAAAATAATTTCATTATACCTCAAAAAGAACAAGAAAAATAATTATCAATAAACTCACATGCAAGTTTATGCTAATTTAATTTGGAACGATGATTTTAAATTAGTTATGACCCAAAAAATTAAAAAATAATTTTTCTTTCAATATAATATTTATAAATTTTTTCCCTTTTTTTTAAGAAAAGAAAGAAAAACTATATTTTAAATTTTTTTAAAAGAAAAAAAATCATATTTTCTTCAAGAAATAAAAAAAAATGAATAGGAAAGAAAGAAAGAAAAGAAAGGAAAAAGATTTAAGAATGATTTTAAAAAAATGAAGAAAAGAAGGAAAGAAAATAATATAAAATAATTGGTTTGACAGCGAGTTGCAAGCCTGCAATTGTCTCGTGGCATACGAGGCTGCACTAGGGATGTCAAAAAGGCTCGGTGGCTCGGCTCGGAAAAAGCCCGAGCCCGCCCGGCTCGTGGCTCGTAGGGATCGAGCCTAGGCTCGGGCCGAACCTCAAAATAAGAGGCCGGTCACATGCAGCTATAGCTGCCTTTTTTTTCGTATTGGTACACTTACACTGTTATCTTTTTGAAATTCAAATTTGAAAAATAATGCGGGTTTTTTTATCTATAAATACGAGATGATTTTTGAAGTTTTAAATCACTTTGCTATCAATTTTAATTCGCATTATTTCTATATCATAGATTCAAATTCAAGTTTCAATTTCTTCTTTCTCACTTCTCATATAACAATTAATATATTCAATTTCTTTCACTCTACAGTCTAATATTCATTATTTTTTATTATACTAGTTATTATGGATTTTACAAGTGATGAAATTAATCAGTTTGGCGGTAGTTCGAGTACTCCATCTAACTACGATGCATGTGAAAATATTCCAATTAATTTGGAGGATATTGAAGAGGAAGAAGTTCAAGTACTCGAGAAAAAAAGGTCAAAAAAAGAATCATCGGACTGTTGGCAACATATGACACGAAAAAAA